AAATTACTATATAATATATGCTATTATTTTTTTATAATCCTATTTTCATACGATTCTATAATTTCAGACTATATACTTAATATTAAAGCAATTATAATAAGATCAACAGATCATCTACTATCTATTATTTAAAAAATAAACGCAAAAGAAGAGGATCCCTAAGGCTTGTTTTTGGCACCCCTTCAAAATTGGACCAAAATAGCTGGAATCACTTCCTTATACCTTTGGAAGTAATATTTAAGCCCAGTTCAACAGTGGCCAGTTAGCTTAACTAGTAGTTAACTCTCACTCTCTGTTTCTTTTTAACTCAAAGGTTAGATAGAGACGGAGAGTGAGAGTTAACTACTAGTTAAGCTAACTGCTAACTGGCCACTGTTGAACTGGGCCTTAGTCAATTCCAGCCTAAACGGAAGTATTTAGATTGTATACTTCAAGTATACGTGGTGCATTAGCTCGCCTATATCAAGCATTTCTTTGGAAAACTAAGCGTTTTTGAGAAAAATGTACAACTTTTATCTGAAACATTTTTCTCAAAAACGCTTAGTTTCCCAAAAAAATGCTTGATACGGGCGCTCTGATGCACCATGTATACTTGAAGTATACACTCTAAATACTTACGTTTAGGCTGGAATTGACTAAATATTACTTTCAAGGGTATAAGGAAGTGATTCCAGCTATTTTGGTCCAATTTTGAAGGGGTGTCAAAAACAGAACCCTCCTCCTTTAAAATGTTAAGAAATAATTGTGTTTAAAAGTATTTATAAATGCATTTAAATAGTCTATATCCTTGTCTATATATACAAGGACAAATATAGGTCGATAACTCGATAACATTACAATTTTTTTACCTTTTTCAAAAAGGGACAAAATATGTAATTAGTAAATACATTTAAAATTTAAATTTTAAATACATTTAAATACAAGATACACTTAGATTAAGTAATTAAATGCAAAATACAAGATACTTAATTATTCGGTATTTAAATACTGTATTTAAATAAGATACGTATCTAAATACGTATCTCAGATACTTTAAGATACGTATCTGCCCAACCCTGCTTATATCGCGATCGGGACTAACACCGAGCCGTAATTTAACGATCCAGCGCGATGAATTCCTGCTCTCCTTTTCTGATATTAGTCAAAAAATTCATTCCCGAATAACGAAACACCCAATATATCGTACAGCCGAGATCAAATATGCCGCATTGCCACACGTATCAAGAAATATTAATTTAAATAACGGTAGCGGAGCAAACACAATTAAGATGACAAAAGTAAGACTTAAGGCTGATCTACAATGTGCTTTTTGTTCTCTGTCGCTTAAGATAAAAATTGACAAACTTCAGAAGAGACAAGAAACATCAGGTTACGCGACGGAATTGCGAAATACGAGATATAGATGCAAAGAGGTTAAGAGTAGAAAACAGAAAGCAAAGAGCACATTGTAGATCAACCTTTAAGCGATAAGCGAATCGGTCAAGCGCGCAAACGAGAATTATCAACAATATTATTCTCACCCGGCACCTCACGATTGCCCCGCTGTCGCCCGATGTCTCCCAAGCCTCGTCCTCCTCTCCTCGATCCTCCTCCTCCGTCGGTCCGCTGTTGCATCTGATTGCATCTCCGTCGAGGCACTGACTTACGACTCACGACGCGGCGACGTTCACGCGAGAAAATCAACGTCGCTTATGATCGCGCGACACTCTCGACACTTTGTACGGTACTACCGGTAATAATCTGGCGACACGGCACACGGCAACGGAAAAATTACGACGGAGAAGCTACGAACGATCCGCTTGACGCCCATGACGCTTGGCGTTCCGCAGGTAGACGCTAAGATGGCGGAGAGAAATTCGTAAATCGCGCAGCCAACTTCACTCGGCAGGAGCAACCGTCGTAACGCCGCGATATCGCGAGGGAGGACGCTACACTTGCTGCTCTCCGCCGCGCTATATGTTAGCGTCTACCTGTCTGCCTGCGGAGTGCAGGACGTCAAGCGGATCGTTTCATAGCTACTCCGCCGTCTAATTCTTCCGTTGCCGTGTAACTGAGTACGCGCTGTGTCGCGAGATTAAATACCGTGCAAAGTGTCCCGCGATCATGAACGACGAACGACGATATTGATTTTTGCGTGAACATCGTCGTCGCACCGCGTCACGAGCCGTGACTGTCGTGAGTGAGTGCGACAACGGGCCGACGGAGGAGGACGAGGCCTGGGACTCCTGGGAGGCATCGTCGGGCGACAGCGGCACAACCGTGGCCGGTAATTGTTATATATACGCCCAAAGATATCTCGCGCGCATTTCCTCGTCGTAGAAACTCGTCGAAGAGTGCCGGGGAACGAGTGTTGGTTTATTCGTTGATTTATTATCATTTCTCCTCGACGCCCGTATTCGGATGTATACATACCTCCGAGTTTTCCGTCGATAAGCGTGATTCGCCCGATACTTTTCCGAACCGCAGGCGCGGATTAATGCGCGAATTGCTCCGATCGAGGGGGTTCAAATAACGGAAATCCGCGATACATGGTTGTTTAATGGCGCGCACTTGAGCAGGATTTACGCGCTCATGGTGTATCATTGTGTATCTCAATTTAATGTTGTGTATTTTCAGATCAATGCCGGCGAGGCTTTCGTACTTCTCGGTCACTTGCGCAGCGTCGCAAATACGGAGCGGATCGGTCGAGGCCAAGCGGCGTCGTGACACGTTTGATTAGTGAGTAACCGATCGGAATTAGTCCCGCGTTTCAATATTTGTTAACCGAGTGGCATAAATACGATCTTGATATACCGGTGATGATTTGTCGCGGCGTGTATTTCACGAGATTCGTCTCATTGTAATTCGGATTGCGCGATCAATAATCACATTTTTTGATGCTATACATTCCGCAGATATTTGTCTCTGGTTTTGACTCAAGCATTTACTCGTAAGTACTTATATATTATCTCGCGATGTAATAATCTCGGCTGTAAGTGCAACAGCATGCCGTTCATATCATTATACATAAAATTTTGAAAGAGCGCAACCAACCGTGTATGGTAAGTAATATTTATTTATTTATTTATTTATTTATTATATGTCACGATTTATTACATCCAGAACAAATAACTCATTTTCCCGATGATTGTGTTGCTCGTTCATTTTCTGCGCGCTATAAGCATTCTTAAGAAATCAGGCACAATTTTTAAATAAATGTTAGATAATTATTTTTATTTTTAATATGAAATATCTATTTGAAAAATTGTTAATTTTAATTATTTGGAACGCAGTTGTAATCTGAATATATTTGTAATTTACAGGAGGTCATCGTTTGTGTTACAACTCCGCTGCTGCGCGTCAGATCTGTGAGTTTTTAAATTATTTATTTCAAATTAAGGTAATGGATCTATGAAAAAACTGTATTAGATGTATATTAGTTTATTCTTACATTATGTAACCTATGTCATGTTATCACATTTAAAAAATATTGAATTAGTATTGATTTGAAAGAGAGGCATAAAAGAGAGGATATTATAATTAGATCCATTACCATAAATGGATGGGCTAGGGTAGATTAGCATTAACATTTAATCCTGGAACATATACAACTGTCAATCCATTGTACATGCAAGAATGCACATATTCGAAGCTCATAAAGCTTATTATTATCGATATATCTTTTGGATCGGTTTAATCAGTGTATTATTCGTCGCAAGTAAATTATAATTAATTAAAGTTTAGAGTTTATTACTTGGATTAATAAATTATTATTTAGGTAAATAAAAAAATAAGAAAATAGAAAAATAAATGAAATAGAATCATGAGAAATCAAATACTGATATTTCTTAAAAATAAAAGTTTTATTTAAGTATCTTTATGACATTCGTATATCTCAAATAAATATAAATTAGTACTATATACAACAGGAAATAATTACTCATTTTTAATTAAGTTTCTTTATCTTTCCCTTTTTTCCTTGTTCGAATATCATTTTAATAGAATTTAAAGTCTGCGTTTGGCTTCCTTCCAGGATTAAATGTTAGATAAAATGGCACAAAAAAATATATTCAAAGAGATCTAACATATACATATGTATAATTCTATACACATACAACATAAATAAAAGGAAGCTAAAGAGTATTTCATAATCGCCTTGCACATTCCAACTAATTTATTTAATTAGGAACATATAAATAATTATTAAATATTTATTATAAAAATGTGCACATTTTACCTGATTTTCCATAGCCTATTTATATTTTTTCAATAATGTTTTAAGTATCAAATGTCATTTGATACAAAATAAAATGATATGAGATCTAAATTAAAATTTCATTGCGGACCAAGAGAGGTTTGTATATAAATTATCTTAAAGTTAATTGATTACATGTCAAATGTATTAAAATATAGACTAATGAGATGAAAATGTTTAATCATCATGATGTATTAAAATTCATTTTCTAAAATATTAAAATTTATAAAGATTTTGTAATCGTTTCTGTCGATAATTATTCATTTGAATAATTATTTCGTTTCGGATCTGTCATCCGATTTTTCTTCCATTTCCACGTTGTTAATGTTAGATATGAACGATGTTTATCCATTTTAATTGGTTTATATCGGATGTTTGTTATTGATTTTTGTTCCTTACGGCGGTTTCATTATTATTCCATTTAGATACAGATACACAATTACTTAAATACGTAAATTCGAAGACAGGATAGCGGGTAAATTGTGATGAGGTTTGGCGATTGAATTTATTATAACAGAAATCTTACTTTATTTTTATAATGCACTATTGGAAATTACGCAGGGACTAATTATTATGATCTAATAATAATTTAACTTGCATTCAATTTCGCGTTAATAAAGAATCTATTCAGTGGTGCTCAAAGGGTCTATATATAGAAACATCTTAACTAGAGCTACGATCTACTGATTACTCGTACTGATATCTCTACCACCGCCGTACCACGTTATTGTGGATACTTTGGTTTTGTAATTAGTGAGACACTCACTGTAATCCCAAGCCCAGTAATCGCCATCACCCGCCGTGGGCAGCATCGTGCTCCATGCCTCTATGTAAGAACAGAAAGAAAGAAAGAACGAAAGTAAAAAACCGAACCATGCCTCGATCATTCGCGAAAAGATCTTTATGCATTTTCTAAAGAGAAAAAAAAAGAGAAAAAGAAACGGAGTTCCGCTCGGTAATTTAAACGCTGAAAAACTTTTGCGCGATTGTTATAAAATTACCTTCCTGTAGTGGCAGTTCTTCTAACGTGAATATCGAGTGTTAAATAACGAAGTTTCTCCGTGCGGAGTGCCATGCAAAGTTGAATCACTTTGTCCAGATAACGATTCGCTGCGAGCATAAACTCTTGATTATACAGTTTGAAATAGATAATGCGAAACGAGTGGTTTGCCATAGCTTGTTTTATATTCACTTGACGATTAGTCTCTTAACTTATGTTTTTATCTTTTAAAATTAAAGAAAATTTAAACAGTCATAATTTTAAATATTAATCAATATTACAGTTTACTTTTCAATATTAATTATATTAATATTGAATTGATATTAATAAAAGCAATATTAATTACAAGCTTGCTACGCGACGCAATGTATATCAGTTATCGGATTTCTTTTCTTCTCCTTTCTCATGTACATGTACATGTTATACAAATGTGCATACTTTCTTTTTTCTCAGTGCTCGCAGCCTTCAATTTTTCGCGATATTTGTTAAGAAATCTTGATAAATTGATTATTTTGACCCTAATAAATTCTGAACCCCCTTTTTCTTTGTGTTCCAGCCCTCATTTCTAGCCTCGCTATTTTATCTTGCGCGTCTGTAACACTCTCATCCTTTCTGCACTCTCCCATTTTCCTCTTCCTTTTTCCTCCATTCGTTTCAACATGGTCATTAAGGCTGGAAATTACATTATATCGCGTATAACGACTGCGCCTGTCAGGCACGACGAGGACAATCGCGCCTGCAAAAAGCTGTTAAGAGAGGAATTAAAATGAAATTGTCCTGGTTCCTTTTGCAAAGAATCGTCTTTGAAGTTTTGCGTTCTTCTGGACGATGTCTCGGTAGCGACAAAAGACTCGGCCGTGAGTTCGCAAAGATTCGCAATTATCAGTGAAGTAAACCTTTGAATAAACATTCCACGCTGCAGTTTTCGATAAAGGAAGATTGTTTATTCGGGGCATGAAGAGACCCTTTTTCTGTAGTGAACTCTCAACTTTTAATATCGTGAATTAAATCCAATTTATTTAGTATATTATTGCTTATTGCATCAAGTAATGAAAGGAAGAAATCGAACAATTTAAATATTATTTAAAAACAGTTTTATATAAATGAATTTTAATACTTTCTCCCATCATTGGAAAGAATAATGCATAATAAAATTATAATTAATTAATCAATTAAAACAAGAATGATAATTTTGCATGCTTATTTGTTAGTTACGTGAGATTGCAAAAATCTACTGCTAAACGATTTTGCAGTGTACTTACATCATAAATATATCTTGAAATGGTATATCTGTCACGTGCAGTAATGGAAAATACGCAAGTAGTAAAATTACTACTAATGCATGGTCCAAAAAGGTTGCTTTTGTTGAACAACATGAAAACTCGAGAAAATGCAGAATTTTATCGCAGAGAGTAAATCGTAATTAAAATAGATCCGGTGTGTTGCTTATCCGCGAGAAATGTAATCTCGCTTTTCGCTATTAAACCTGTCGAGTGCACGGCTTTCTGAATTTTGTAAGAAGGAAAATCCGTGTCCCGTCAGAATGTATGTTGCAAATTAATACAATAATATTATATTTCTCTTTTTACTGACACTATGAAAAAATAATAATTTTTGCTGATAGCGTAGGAGAGTTTGAAACCAGTTGTAATATTTGCAATCGATTGAAATTAATGTTTGCTGTATATCATTGCAATGAATTATATATTATATGTAATTCATTGCAATAACGTCACGAGAATTCATGCTGAAATGAATCCTTCCGATTTAGATTCCAATACATCTCTATAATGCAGACGCTTGAAAATTCTCCGTAAATTATTAAAACTGACCTCGAACTTTTTTTTCTAACGACCGAGTTTTCTTTTAGCCACTTTGAGTGACAGGAACAAATGCATAAACTTTCATATTTTGCCATTCTGCACATTCGCGATTTCCGAACCGTCTCCGTTAATGACTCCTTGTGCGCGCACCTCATTAACGGGGAAGAAGTCTGATTGTAATTATCGGTGAAACGTCTTGGAACGACCCCGACTTGCTCGGCTTCTCTAATTGCCAATGGCTTACGAGAAGGAAAAATCATTCTAGAATACTATCTCGCTTCTGCAGCTGTCGACAATTACGCCTCATTAAGTGACGCGCGTTCTCTCGCAAATAAGTACGCGTAGGAATTAACGAGAGATGCACGCCCGTATAGTTGCGTCCAAGCAGTTTATTGTTAAAGGCAACGATCGATCGAGCGGAATATGAGAAAAGAGGATAAAAACGGCAATGGCCAAAGTAACCGCGTTTGCTCCGTGACAGAACGTAAAATATGAAGAAATAAATATTCGAAGGAAATATTTTCCGTTTTCACAAACCTTGAGTGAATGATTAATATTGAATTTAGTGGAACACGTTCTGCGACGTTAATAAATTACTAGTTTAAATTCGAGAACACAAAAGTTGAAAGAATGTTGCGGATAGGTCGTAAATTAATGAAATGTATAATTGCTGAAAGTAATATCAAAACCACACAAAATCAATTTGTTTGATGGATAAATACCAAAAGTGAAATAAATAATTGCAGCCTTAGCGAAAGATATGGAGCGCCTTTAATAATTTGTGGCCGACCAAACATTTCGACAGTTTAAAATTGATGAAGATCATTTAATTCTCATTATTTATAAATTATAATTATTAAGGTATTTTTTAAATTTGTTTTATTAAACTTTGTTTTACTAAAGCGTCTTGAATATTATTCTCAATCTTCTAATCTGTAAATAGTAATTAATTATTTGATTTATTAAGATTTATTTGTTAGACTTTGTCTTTGATTGAAACTGTGTATACATATGAAATAGTTTGGAACGAAACCAAATCATTTGTATCTCCGTTCAGTTATATTATGCTCAATGCACACAAATAAATTCATGGAAATGTGTGCTTGTTTCTACTTTGCATTTTTACCAACGATTTTATGCTTTGTTTTTATGCGTAAGGATAACATAGGAAAAGTTTACTTCTCTTTTCTCGTATTGTTCAAACATTTTTAAGTTTAAATGTACACAGATGCTCTTTTAATCATAAAAAGTATGACTCGCAAACGTGTACAAAAAAGTAGTAGTTTAATTCATATATTCACCTATAGTCTGAATATTGTTAAATTAATTATTTCTAAATGTTAATGTTAAGTATCAACATAGCAACATACACGTATATTGTATTTTTAAAAATTAGAAAATTTAAACTTAAACCATGGTTTAAATTTAAATTTAAACCATCAACAAAGTTCTTTTAGCAAAGTATAAATTAATTTTTAACATTAAACATAATTAATAATATAAAGCTATTCTTTTATTACAATTAGTTTCGAAATTCAGACTATTAATTAAAAGTTAATTTTACTAACCTTTCTCGCAGTATGCGCCTTCATAATCGCCGGTGCGACACTCGCAGATCGGTCCGCTGTCCGTAGAAATGCAAATGCCACCGTGCTGACACGGATCGCGAGTCTCGCAAGCATCCGTCGTATTCGTCATATTGCGTAAACTCTGTAACAGACATTAAACCATAACGTTACAACAAATATTGGATATCCAAATTATTAATAGGAGCCTTTAAATAGCGATACATGTTTTTCGTAATGAGATTTTTAATGAGACCATGAGTAGTAAAATTCTAACTTCAAATTAGCAACTGCATAGTGCAAGCATTACGTCGAGGGAATATTCACGTCAAACATTGAACCGAATATTTAATTTAAATTATATTTACTATTTATGATTTTAAAAAATTCATCGCGCAGAAGAAAACTTTTTTGTCTATATTTATGATTATACATATTAGAACACAAGCGTAATTAAATTAACGTATAATACAACTGAATGCGAGAAATAAAAAATAGAAAAGAGTATAGTCTATTTTCACTATCTAATTAAATGTGTTGCGTCATAAATCACAGAAAAACTGCATAATAAGTAAATTATAAGTATATTTTAACGATGTCTTATATAATGCAAATGCTCTGAAATTATTCCTACTATTGCGCGCTACAATTTTCGCGTCGTATTATGCAGCAGACAGATTTCCTGGCACGGATATATTACCTAGAAATATAACTTTTTAACATGAATCCGAGAAAAATTCAAAGTGCAATAAGTATAGATAAGGGCATGGAAGTGAAATTTTTTTTATTTTCTACTTTACGCAATATTTGCTGCATGGCAGTATTTCGACATTCAGCTGACGCGGTCATATTTAAATATTTAAAAATGCATTAAGATAAATCTCGTTTTTGAGATACTAATTATGCTTTCTTACTGGACTCTCTTCATATAAAGTGTGATAAATGCTTTTAAATAAACTTTCCTTAAGCATTAATGATACTCCACATAAAATTTTTATTTAGGCAACATTGTTGCAAAAATAATATCTTTCCCTTTGTGTAACAAATAATAGATAATATATCTGTGTGATACGCTCACTTGCAATATCGCTAGCAATATTCATTGTGATATTACGCAGCGACGAAAATTAAAGAGAAAGTAGAAAAATAACGTACTTTAGTTAGAAGGAGAGCTTCGCATTTTTTTAATTTACATTTATCTTTATTTCGCGACCTTATGCGCTGTTGTTCGGGGGCGACGAATAATAAACGAACGCGGAACGCGCCGCCGCGGTAAACATCTTTTTTTACGACTCATTTATCTTGACAGCGCACTTTCAGCACTGCAACTCACTTTGCACCGTCGCGTTTTAAGTCACGCAAACGAGATTTTTTTCACTCCCAGGAGCCGGCCGCAACCGACTTTTATGGATGCTCTTTGCACTGAGAATAAGCGGGACGTTGATCTTATTCTTGAAGTTCTTTTAACGTTGGTCCCAACTCGATTTGAGTCTGTAGAATTAGATAGAAGGAATTCGCCGTGGATCACTTTACTTCAATGTGAGTTAATTTCCAAAAACTGCACGAAATTTCTGGTTTCGATATTCAGGACATGCTACAACATAATCTTTATGCATATACTCGTAGTTGTCTATTTATCCGATTTGTTATGCAAAAAAGCTACGTTCGACGAATACACTCACATTAACTCGAAAATTTTTATTTAAAACGGCTTAAAATTAGAAATTTTACACTATTTCCCAGATATTTCATAGAAGAAGATGATCTCGCAGCGATTGATAAAATATCTCTAATTATCTTCGCGAAAAGTTCGTCAGTATTTCCGTCGAAGGGTTAAGGGTCAGATGAAACATTCTTAACTTTCGCGAAAACAGCGTCTAACTTGCGAGTGAATTTATCTTTGCGCAACAAACATCCGCAAATCCGGCTGATAAGACAACCACGTAGATCACGATCCTCATCTCTCGCTCGCGATGCCAACTTCCCCCGGCGAAGTTGGCGGTATGTACCTGTTGGCCGGCGGATATAAATATTTGAACTTCCAGTCTCTCAAGGATGCATCGTAATTTCTATTTGCTAGAAAATCACTCGCGCGTTTGTGGTTAATTTAACTGCTAATGTAAATGCAAGTTGCATTGTTCTCTTACTTTTTCAGAAAATAATGGCCTAATTAGTCTAATTAATAGCAGGCTTTTCTTAATAGCCTGCAGCGAGTTATTAATTATCTTTCACCCTCGGAAAATTTTCCTCGACATTTTTTACAATGGCTCGATCGCGAGGAATTTAGTCAGTGCAGCGATGCGGATGCATGTGTCGGGTCACGGGGTCAATCGCGTCGCTGTGCTCTATTATCGCGGCCAGGTTGGGTTCGAAAATTGGCAAATGGCCATTGCAGAATACGAAATGGTAATCTTAGCGATGACGCGAAACGAAAGAAGACGATATGGGTTAACTGCGTCGTGCATTGAACATGTGAATGGCAGCATATACATATGAAGAAATTGGACTTTTTTTCTTAACCATAGATTATCGAAGAATACGTATTAGCTTTAAATTCAGACATTACCGTTTTAGAGATAGATGGTGCACAAGGAATATTACAGTGCATGAGTTTTATACGAAACGCGCAATTCTATTTGAATTGGTTTTCTTTGCAAGCATTTGTAGTATTGAGCACGCTCGCTTTTAATAAAAATTTAATTTCAAGCTTAATTATCAAGTACAATGTCGACAATAGAAAATTATACGATAAGTAATATTCTTTTTTAATTACAAATTCAATCGAGTGTTAATAAATAAAATTGAGCATTGTGAAACTTTGTCTGGATATCTGTTTTTGCGCGAAGGTATATAAAGGGGTAAAAACTTAGACTAACGAGTATAGTATAGACTGCACGAATATGGCCACCAAGCCTGCTTAACGAGTCGACCGCATTAATCATATTGGACCACACGGCGCAGAGGATTGTTAACGAGATTTCCTGCGAGAAAAGCTAATTGACGTCTAGTCGCGGCAAATTGCATTTTCGATATGACCCCAGCTTAGCCGTTCCTGGCCTTTCTGTAGTTAGCAAAATAACACAGTTGATTATTTCGGCGCTCCGGACCAGATATATTATATTAATTGGTCGTTTATTTTAATTAAATGCACTTGTTTTAATTTTTTGCGTTGCAATGAAATATTACTAGTTTTAAATAATAATATTAATTATTATTAAGATTAGAATTCTATTTTATAAAAGTAACAAAGTAATAAATTGAGAATTTATAATTAGAGAAGAACAAGTAATACCATTTTTAAAGCAGATTTAAGTAACTTCATTCGGAATAAAATAAAGTTTTGTATACAATTATTTTCACGTAATTTTAATTTCGTTTAATTCAAGAAAAGGGGGTACCTACAATTAAAGATTTAGATAATCATTTTTCATGATCGCGCACTAAAGATGACCTTATTTCAGATCGACGTTTGTCACATCATTTAATTTATAATATATGTATGTCTAGCACGTATTATACATCCAGTTTGGTTCACTAGCCTCTTTTATCTCCTTTGTTTTGGAACAAAATTAATTAACTGCAATTAATCCAGCGTGCACGATGGAATTCGGTAAAGACAAAAGCTGCATGATGTTTATGAACTATGCGCAGCATAGTTGCGCAAAGTATGTCTATCGCGCTATACAGACCGCAACGCGAGGGAAAGTAGGTACTCAGATAAATCAAGCGATTTAATTTCGACGGGATTAAACGGCGCGATCGGCCCATCCTCATGTCGGCAAGTTTTCTATTCCGGCATGTATAACAGTAATCTATACCCATACCTATAGATTAACGGGTCGTAAATTTGGTAAATCTTCTTAAAACTGAACAGTCAGCTTTTGTCCTACGATGATTACGAATCGAAAATCTATCACTCCCGGAAACGTTATTACACACCAAGCGCGTGGTAAATTCTCTCCGTGTACGTGCGTGCACGTGCGATTCCACAAAGCGTTGAACGTGACTATTGTGAAACATGTATAACGTAAGTCGTAAGATGCAGAACGATTACGTATGCGTCGCCAGGAACGATACAATTTTCGTGCGACACGAGTCATCCTGTCTCCGAGGACTCCGAGGATGCACATCCCAGGTGCAGTGTGCATTCTTCCGACCGCAGAGCGTACCGCGAAATACGCCGGGGAACTCGGGCCGCAGCAACTCTGATAAAGTCGGAAGAAGGGGTCTTGTACCCCGACCCGTCAGATTGTCGACAGAAACTAAGGCAATAAATAAGGCACCCTCCGCGCAACTGCGGGAGCAAACTGCATCTCCGCATGCCGACGAAACTGCGCCGTGCCAAAACTGCGCTATTTGGTTTTGACCGCGAACATGAGAATCCCGGACAAGCGTTGCGCGACCTCGGGGCATAAACCAGCGGAGATACAGAATAAGTTGCGTCAAAGGGAACTCGCTCGTTCGCCAAAGTTCGGGGAGGGTTCGGCGGTGCAGTTTATCGAATTAACAACCGCGATGGCTAACCGCGTTAGCATCAATGCAGTGCGATAGGACCAACCTGCTGATTGCATAATTCATTCGTTACTTCATTGATTACTGTCGCTCCGTGAACAACCACCACATATGCAAAATTAACTCTCCCTTTGATTTCCCACAAAGAGTTGATTCGTAACAAAGATAAAAATATCGTCGTTATCATTTTTTATTTGATTTTAAATCAAAATGAAAAAAATGCCCCAAGAACTTGCTATTTTAATTATGAAAGTAGCATTAATTATTATTAGCCAATATCATATATTACAATATAAAGATACACAGAATACAAGCATGTTCATTAATTTGTTTTCATCACGATTTCTGCAAGTTAATTATTGTGCATAAAATATGAAGTTAGAGGATATAAATTACAGTTTAACGGTTTCATAATATTCGATTAAATAAACATATAAAGGTCTATAACGAAGTTGACGTTGACTTTGACTAAAATCGGAAAAGTCTGCAACTTTACTCGTCTTAAACTTTAAATCTTTCTATTAAACTCGACCGATTCCCTGACGCGGTCCTAATAAAAATTCATATTAAAGTTCTGAATGCGTGCTATATGCAATGGTTGCGATTATTTGAGATGTTTGAAAACATCGTAAC